TAATGTTTGAACATTTAACAAATTCAATTTTTCGACCTTCGCCGCCCCAAAATACTAAACAAATTTCAATCCTCCATACCGCGAGAACGGTGCATCGGATCAAAATTTCTCAAGAGACATGAAAATGAGCATTTTTCCTAAGCTTTCAAATGTCGTAAACTGCGTTTTGAACATATTGATTGATTTCCGACATGCGCCTTGCGCAAAATTGAAAAATTGACAAAATCCAAAATTTCGGCACTTTCGAAAAACAGCTACATTTTGTTTTGCCTTTTTTTCGAAAAGATCACCTCAAAATACATAGAATCCATTTTGTTTCATCTAATTACAATTTAATGTAAGCTCAAAACCCGTAATTTAATTCGATTATAGTTAATTTTTCAATTTGTAGATTTTCGTTAGTGGATCGTAGAAACAATATACTGTACAACTCGAGTGTTTGTTCATATCCAGTCTCGTTGTACAAACTACTAATCTCACTCCATACTTACTCCAAAATCAATAATGTAGTTTTTCGCGGAACAAATGAACAAATTGTTACCTTACAATAAATACTACAGGCCCGTATTAATGTTTTTCTACGCCTGGGACTAAAAAAGTGTAATTATTATGAATTTTAGGTGAGAAACCAGATAAAACAATATTTTAATAAGTTTACACAATATTTATTTAATAGAACAAGATTTCAAAGTATATACTAGCACGATAAATGATAATAATTAAGTACATTATCTTTTATATCTGTGCAAATTTACATGTACCGGATAGCAGCCCAATAAGAATGGATTTCGGCTATATCTCAAAAACTGTTTATATTATTTAGCTTCGGGTAAAAAATTTCAATGACAAAAATGGCAACGAGAAAAATTTAGAATTTATTTAGATAATCGTAGGGCGACCGCTAAATGACGTAACTACTCGTAAATACCAAATAATTTTATACTAAAAATTACCAAAGTCTTCCAAAAATATTTATTTCTGTACCATGATATACCATGCATATATGCAGCACAAACAGTAGTCAGTAGAGGCAATGGCGTGCCAAAAGGGCCCATTGGGCCCGCAACGCGGGGAGGGGGCCCGCTCAACCTCGACCTCGACTACCTCGAGCAAGCTTTTTACAACTATAACTATAATACTTATACTTAATTTTATAGCGGCGGAATATGTATACAAAATCTTGTGTCGGAGCTAATTCAAATAAAAAACCTCCTATATGTTAGCCTGCAAAATCTTAACAGTTTTAGGGAATTTTCTGATTTTATTTTCGAAAAAAATCAATTTTTGATTAGTAGTTGTTTTTGGTACTGCCTGTTACATCGGCTCAAGCAGAACGAACATTTTCAAAACTGAAACTAATAAAAAGTTCTGCAAGATCGACAATGGGTAAATCGCGCCTAAGTTCATTGGCATTAATTTGTATAGAAAATGAACGGGCAGAAGGCATAGACTTAGACCAAATAGTTAATACATTTGTTGCTTTACACAGAAAAAATAGTTTTTTTTCTTTATTTAAACTAATCTGAAATGCGATTCAAATCATAATAATAACATTTTTAGAGTTAATGTGTTTTATTTGTTTATTAAGCTATTGCATAGCTTTTATCGCTGGCTTTGTGCGCGGCGACCGAATCAAGAAATTCCGTAACGACCGTAACGAAAAAACACCTAACACCCCCCACTCCGACCGGCACAGCGGTGCGGCGTTAAACAATATTAACTTCTCATTTATTCAATAAATGAAAATCGAAAACTGGAAAAATCAAAAATCCAAAAATCCAAAAATCGAAAAATCGAAAAATGGAAAAATCGAAAAAATCAAAAAAAGCGAAAAATCGAAAAAATGGAAAAATCGAAAAAATGGAAAATCGAAAAATCGTAAAATCGAAAAATCAGCAGAAATTCCGTAACGAAAATAAACCTAACACCCCCTACTCCGACCGGCACAGCGGTGCGACGTTGAAAGCCGTGCATCGTCTAACGTCGTTTCAGTTCGGCAGACTTCGGCACGGTGTTTGTGTGCGTGCGACTAGACGTATGCGTGTAGACCAGCTGCTAACTGCTCATAACTGATTCTATCTCTTTTAGACACAATTTCGGAAAAATTGAATTTGAAAATGAATAATGATCCACAAGAATCCACAACAAAATATGGGACCACTATTGACGCGGTATTTTCCAGATATTTAGAGGATATCAAGTCTCAAAGTTGTTTTCCTTTTCAGTTACCATAAACCTATAGTTTCAAAGATAAAAATTCCTGAATAACCTACATGTATTGTAAGATAATAAAAATATTTTAAACAATATTAACTTCTCATTTATTCAATAAAAGAAAAAAAATTGTTTTCTTATCGGTCACCACGCTCAAAAAGTGTAACTTGAATTAATATCAAAGAAAAAAATTTCTCAAATATCACCGTAGGTAGTAGTTTCGTTGTCACCCAGTAGAGACAGTATATTAATTTTTTTGATGAAAAAAAATGCGGGGAGCCCCCGAAGACCTTGGCACGCCACTGAGTAGAGGTATGTGTTTATATAAGCTTAATAATAAACATTTGTGGGATAAATAAAAAATAATTAAAGAGGATAATAATGACAATAAATGAATAAACAGTTTTTGTGCATGCGTGTGTCATTCAGCCAGTCAATGGTTACACCGAGATCTACTTGAAAGGTTACTGCTTTGACATTGTTACCACCAATAGTATATGAAAAATGAGGATTGTTTTTTACAAATTGTACATTTAGAAGGTTTAAGTGGTATAATTATGTTGCGAGAGATGATTTCCATATTGTGGGCATATTTATTATTGAATAAATCGCAAGTGTAGATGAGTTACAGAATTGATCCAATTATTGAATCTTGGTGCCTACCATAGGAAACGTTAAAGAAATTAGATAGAGGTTTTCCCACTCTGACACCAAATTTTCTATTCTTTGGAACATGATCGAATGCCTTCGAGAAATCCACATAAATAATGTCTTTATCAATAGAGAGAGTTTAGATATTTAGACCGTTTAAAAAATTTGTAAAGGTGGTACCTGGTAGAAAACCGTGCTGGGTTTTTCTTATGATATTCGACATCAAGATATCAATCATATATGAATATTCTTTTATTCTTTCAATAATTTTGCAGCAAATAGGAAATAAACTGATGGGCCTATAATTATCAGGATTACGTTTTAGTAAGGCAGCTGAAATATTATTTTTTCTACACCCACAATGGATATTAACTTATCTACGCGCAGACTACAGAATGAAGTAGTATCATCCTATTGCCTTTAACTGAACGAATATATTTTATATCCATTCTAGGTAGTGAGAACACTGCAAAAAAAATAAAATCCTCCAATCACAGTTCATATTTTGAACACTCAACAACTATTATTTTTAAATAAGTTACAATTCTGTCAAATTAATTCTCATTATATTTTTTAGTTTATTAATTTAAATAAAACTCTAAGAATTCAACTTAATTACGAGTATTAAAGCAAAAAAATTAAGCGCATAGACGGTCGTGGGGTCAGCGTTCTTGACTTTCAGACGGAGGACTCGAATCTCGGATGAGGAAAAGTGAAATATTTTTTTTATTTTTTTTTTCTTGTTTATTTTATTTTATAAATTAGAAAAAGTTATTTTTAAATTAATTATTTTATTTTAATAACCTAAAATAATTTATATTTGTAGATTTGTGTTGGTGGGTCGTAGAAAAAAATATACTGTTCAACTCTAGTGGATTGTCCATATCCACTCTTGGTGCATAAACTAGTATATTCTAAGAGACATCAATTTTCAGATTATTGAGCTGTGAAATAATCATGTCTTCAGAAAATTTTATTTCTGAAATAAACGCTAGTCTGGGCATGATAATATATTAGGCAGCCTGCCAAATGATCGTCGAAAATTATTAACCAAGAGTTCCGAACTGTTCCAAGTTGCTTTCGCATAGGATATCACCAGGTTTTTTATTCGAGGCGTTGATATATCGTGTTTACTTATAGAGAGCTTTTAAACCTTTTGTGATTAGTGAATTTTCATAATCTGCTCTTTGAGTTCGTAGATCTTATAATTGATTGCAAGGAAGGCACCATACCGAAATACCCTCTTTAGAATATTTTTTTTTTTAATAAAAATATGGATTGTGAGAATTTTAATTACGGGGGCTGGTTCCTGGGCAAAGTTGTTTTGGAACGAGTAATAAGATTTGAAGTAATATTTTGGAATTATAAGTGTTGATAATAGGGTATTTACAAAGATCTGTAACTGAATTAAGTTTGTTCTGGAAAAATTCCCATTTTTGTTCTACATCTTATGATTCGTATACATCATCCAATTTAGTGATGAGTGTAAAGACTGAAGTTGATTGAAATTTGATTTTTAATGAATTTGGTACACATTTCTGGAGTTAGCAGTTTTCAGGTTCTATCTATATATTCCATGTAATAACAGCACCTGTATATCTATTATGGATTCACTTATAAAGGTTTTAAAGTTGGTATTATTGAGCATAAATAATATCCTAAGCTACCCTGTATATTATACTACTATACCATGAGGTTCAAGTAAGAACTGATGGAAATCAAACATTAATTTTCCAAATGTAATACGTTTTAAAAAAGACAAAGGATATTTTCGCAATGATATATGTCCCCTCGGTCGTCGCACAAAGCTGCCCTGTATATTGGACAAATATACCATGAAGTTCAAGTAAGAATTGATAAACATAAAAAATTAATTTTCCAAATGTAAATGTAATACGTTTAAAAAGAGACAAAGGAGATTTTCGCAATGATACATGTCCCCTCGGTCGGTGCACAGAGTAGTGCATTCTTATCTGGAAGCGCGACCCGCGACGCCGACGAGAACGGGGCCGAGAGAGTAAAATAAATCAGCTTGGCTGGGGTCGCTTGATGCACCGCCGCTTGCAGCCAGACACGCTAGGGGGCGCCATGGCCGCCGTATAGCTTCGATTCAACTCGAATGTCTCGAAACTCATTTTCGAATCTGCTTGCACTTCGGCTTGCACATGCACCCGATTCGGCTTGCAACGCGTACGTCTCTGATCACTTCGATTCGTTTCGTTCACTTATCGCAATCAGACAAAAAAAAATTGGAAAATGTCTACTTGCTTGCCGTCGAAGATCTCGGGTCTTACGTGGGATTCGGGTGTCGTTTTTTTGTGAATATATTCGGGGTTGGTGGTGAAATTTTGTGGTGGTTGTGTTGTTGGATACGCAATTTCGATCGGGCGTGATCGAGGTGAGTCTGATTCCTCTTTTTTTGGTTTCTCATTGATTTTCGATAAATTTCGTACCACGCTAGTGTTAATTTCTGCTCGAGCGTCTTCAGGAAATCAAATAGCGCTAACGTCTTTCCGGGAAACTTCCCCTTTGCACAAAAGTAGAAATTTATTTTCAAACGTTTCGTAACTACCTATTCTACCTATATTAATTTTTTTAATTCTGTAATAATCGGCCGCATGCTAAAAAATGAAGCAGTAATACTGTTATAATACTATTTGTTCAAAAATATATGCCCTCTTTGTTTGCTGGCTACCGAGTAGTGAGTTGGCATTTTTGGTATGACATTATTTTCGGTAAATTTATTGGAAATGCTAAATGCTGATTGTTTTCTGCTACTTAAATGCACATTTTCCAAATTCTGTCGTAATGTTTAATACCATTATCGTTAAATTAATAAATGAATGCAATTTTCACTTAAAATTTCAGCCATATTTTTCACGTTAATATTTACAATCAATTTAAGAATACCCTACCTATGCTGCATAGAAATTAAAGCTATGTCAACGAATTCCTTATACATTTTTTTCGTCATTAACTTTACTGCATTTTTCAGCTGTCATGTATGCATATATAAATGTGATTTAACCGTGTAAAAGATCTATAAATTACGTTACATCGGTTTTTGAATGAAGTACATTGTTAAAATCTATTTGAAAAGCATTCATAATAATACATACCTAATTAGGGATAGACTGATGTGCACGTGCGCACAAAAAAAATAGTAACTGGGTAGCCTACAAATAAATGTGTAGTATCGTATTCGACGTGAATGGTTTAATTATAGGTAGTAAGATTATTTTTACTATTAGATACTTAGATCTTCATATTTATTATACCTAATATAATATTCGTCTACTGGGAAAGCTAGGTTCGAGAAGCTAATACATCATCATCATAATAAAACTTTATACAGAGCTGGGATAGATTGTTTTAGATCTAAATATCTTCACAACGACATACCTAGCAAGAATCTGTTGATATGCGTGATCCCTGCAAGAGTCAGGGATTGCCAAAGTGCGGCCCGCGAACAATTGCTTATTGAAATAAAGAAAATTATATTGCTTAATTTCAAAATTAAGTCAAATCATAAACCACAGAAATGTTATTAACTAGGAAAAGTCAGAGAGTCAGCCATAATGAGAAAAGGCCAGTGGATTAACCAGAAAATTCGGAAGTCGGGAGTTGACTAAACAGTCGACAAGGTGGACTCAAAAAGATACTCCACTGCGGGTGAAATTAGTAATAAAAAGTAATAATAAACCAAATCGTTTTTGGTAAATTTTGACGTGCCCTTAGCTCAATATAATGTGGTAAGTTTGAATTAAATGTTAATTAACTAGCGAGTTATCAAACTATTTGTAAAATTATTTAATTAGATGTGACTGATAAAAAGCTATATTTTTTTATATATTTTATATTATTTTTCAACTGCGAAGCTTGGCCAATCAAGTTCATAACAATATCCCCAATTATTCGGCCCGCGTACGAAAAAGTTTGGGAACCCCTGTCCAAGAGGTTACTTTACAGACACACGAATTTCAATAGTAGTTTGTGTCCTTCTTGTACACCCAAAGATCCGACGTACACAACATAGATATCAGGAAACGAAATTATATAAATATACGATAATTTAGTACCAGAAAATCTAAAAATTATGTCTGCATCTACGTTCAAAACCAAAATAAAACAAATTATACTTAGTGACACCTTAAAATCGTATATTTGGGAAGGCAAGACCGAGTAAGACGACAGCCAGAACTTGGAGGTTTCTATAACACTACAACATTTTACAAAACTTTATAAAAAAAGTTTTTCAAAATCTCAATCTATTAATATCAGCACTTAAAAACTGTTTCATAAAAGTTTTATACAATGTTGTATAAAAATCATTTCATCAGAAAACTATTTTATTAAGTTGCAATAAACGAAGTTAGTTTACTTTTATAAATAAATTAGAGAACAGAAGTATGTAGCCATTTTTATAAAAAATAGACTAATTGGACCAAAACAAAGTGTCATAACCATCTTCCCATTTTGTCGGAACTATAGTAAATTATTTCATATTTATTTTTAATAGTTTCAACTATTTTAAGCATAAAGTCTTATAAAATCGCAGGAACATACAATGCAAAATAAATATTTTGCACAATTTTGTACTTACCCTAGGATACTATTTTGTTCTTTAACGCGTTTTTTAGATGCGATTTAAACAAAATTTGAAGTTCATATACAAGATCTATATTCTGTCAGTTAAAAAAGATAAATAAAAAAATATTTAAAGCTGAAAATTTGGTGTACTTATTTTGAAACACCCTGTTGAGTAAATATTGAACAAATCTAACAAACCGATTAATTTATTATTAACATTTCAGGTCCGATTGGCTTTGTACAAAACCTTTAACCATTTATCAAATAATGGTTATGTATGATGTAATACCTTTATAAAAATTTAAATTAAAAACTTTTTATGTAAATATATACATTTCTAAAAAAATAAGTATGACAAAATAATTATTAGGGATAAGATTAAAAGCTAGCAACATTTGTCGAAGTTTAATAATATATTGCCTTATTTTAAAATTATTTTTATAGCGCTTTGATAGAAAGAGACATCAAAAGCCCTGCATAACCATTTTATAATGTTTCTAACGGGACAAAGCTGATACGCCATTTTTACTGAAGGAGTCTCAGTCCATTGTATTCCACCATTTTGAAAAATGAAAATGTTAAGTAATTAAAAAACAATTTTTTCTAAATAACGGCATGTTTACTTATCAACTCAAGAAATAAAAACGAATATTTTGGCTAAATTAAAAATATAACTTATTCAAGTCACATTTTTTAATAATTTTCCATTTTTGCTCTTAACTGAGACTCCTCTGTTTTTGACAAAAATATAACATATTTGGGTAGGAATAAAAGTTTCACTTTGCAGGATGTCATTTTATAATCTGAAATTGACATTTTCCGGAATTTTTTATAAATATGCACAGTAATTAAAATTATTGAGCTACTGAGCCATTTGGCTATTACACACTGTATATTATACCAAAAAGATGTGTACTTTCGGCGCGCGACCAAAGTACTCCTTTGGCCATTTTTTTCAAACGCAATTAATTTTTTTTACATAAGTTAGCCTATTAATTGATAAAATTTCAATGCGCCCTCAAAATATCCTTTTTTATTTTTTGATAAAAAAATCAAAAACGCGATTAAAAAATATACATTTGGAATGCTTTCAAAATCTTTTTTCGTAAAAGTTTATGGTAAAATAATAAAATATTTTCTATTTTTGATTAGAAATTTTAGTAACAACTAATAATGGTACAAAGGTACTATAAAGTTAGGCCCTCCACTATAAGGTTCCTGAAATTCTATAGTGGCCTCAAGCCAAAATAAGATAGTTGCAAAAACTGTAAAGTACCAACAGGAACTATTTCGCTACCCATGTTACCACTTAAATTCCACGATACATTAAAGTTCCAAGTGATGGCCATTGGGACCTTTTTACCTCTACATACCCAGTTATTTTATTTGGGCATATTAGTGACAGTGGTGGGTGGCAGTAACTGATTCACTGGTTCTATGTAGTTTTTGCAACTATAGAGTAACAATAAAGTAATACTGCCCAGTTCCAGTAACTATTTAATTATTAGAAAATACGTTTTTTGTCTAATTTATTTTTACTCTTTTGTTTTTAACAATTATTTCCAAATTAGACGATATTTTAAATACAAAATGGTAACAATGACAGCAAAAAGTATAGGTTTATAGTCAGGTTTACATAGTTTACAATTTACATTTTAAAATCACCTTCAACACTATAAAAAATAAAAAATGGCATGTGAACATAAACGTGTAAGTTGCTTTGTCTTTTAGATATTCTGCAACATTGTAGTATTTAGCATTTGTTACTACGGTACTTTTTTAATTGAATTTTTAATTTAAATTTAATCAAGTTTTACGTGAATTATGATGTTCAATATTAAAAATTATACGAATAAATCTTTTTTAACATATAGATACTATATCCTTATCAACGGCATTGTCCCATAAAACAAAGAGATGACTAAAGACTAGACTGTAGTAGATATTTATGACGGCATCCAATAGTTAATCATTTTTTATTTATCCTGCTGATGGCATAGTAAGATTTATTTATTTTATGAGCTGTATAGCGTTATGAATCAAAACTGTTTGGTACATTACATGAATGGAACCAAAGGAGACTGTCTTAAGTAAAGCATGTTCTGTCTGCGGATTATTTGAATAAGGTACATCTTACTGCCGGTTACTGTAAGCAGCATTGGTAGTCTTACTAAATTGCCCAGTTTAGGCTAAAAGGTTAGCCCATTATCGCTTTATGCCAAAATTGCTATGTACTGATTAGAACCCAATAATGTTCCGTACTGGGAATCCATAAACAAACAGAAATTACCTATGGTAAATCATTTAAAAAAAAAATAGAGAATTTGACCTGGTGTTCAAATACTAATGCGACCAATCCATTAAAATGTATAATTTAATTGGGGACCAAGGACCTTTAGTAGCAATATAATTACTAGTACAGCGCCTAAAGATTCGGTATTTCAATACCGCACGTATGTCCAAATCGGCATAAGGATATTTTAGTAAATGTTTCGTGTATTCTTCAGTATGACTTCTTTAGCTTTATTATGTTTTCCTTCCAAGTAAATTTTTGTGGCAGGTAGGTTTTAGATCGCGATATGGTATAAAATCATCATTTTGCTCTAGAACAATACTAGACTTAAAAAAAGTCATTTCGAGCCGTATTTTATGTAATTCGTTGGTATTGTGTATAAAAACTTAAACTGTGAAATTGTAATTTTTTTAAAATAATGTTTTGTAACATTTTTCTAGCAAAAATACATATTCTGAAGTTGCCTGGGTTATTTTGGTATTGAATCGATTCATTGTTTGTTTGAAAGTACTTTT